CTGAACCTGTGTAGCAGGATCCAGAAGGCTCCCGACAGTGGAAACGCAAGAGGCATGTACGCCGGCATCAAAACCGCTACCGGTCCCACTCCCATCAAGACGGCTCCGCTGAAGTCCAGGGAAAGGAGAGGTCATTACAGACCAGAGCAAGCAGCTGGAGCGCTGGGTGGAGCACTACCTAGAGCTTTATGCAACCCAGAACGTGGTGACGGATGCCGCCCTGGATGCCTTGTCCAACCTCCCAGTCATGGAAGGGTTGGATGCCCCGCCCTCTGCAAAAGAACTCGGAAAAGTCGTCGACTGTATCTCCTACGGGAGGGCCCCGGGGAGGGACGGGATCCCATCGGAGGTTCTGAAGAGTGACAAGCCAGCTCTACGGCGGCATCTCTACGAGCTCTTGAGCATGTACTTGAAGAAGGACCACGTCTTCCGGGACATGCGAGATGCCAACATTGTCACTCTCGAGTCGCGGTGTGGCTTCAGGGCGGGCCGATCTACAGTGGACATGATCTTCTCGCTGCGCCAGCAGCAGGAGAAGACCCTTGAGCAGCAGAAACCGCTGTATATCACCTTTATTGACCTGACGCAAGCTTTCGACTTGGTCAGCAGAAGCGGACTTTTCAGCCTCCTGGAGAGGAAGGTAGGATGTCCCCTAAGACTGCTCCAGATAGTCAAGTCCATCCACAAAGACATGCACAGCACAGTCTGCTACAACGGCGGAGCATCTGACGCATTCCCTGTGAGCAGCGGCGTAAAGCAAGGCTGCGTCCTCGCGCCGACACTCTTTGGGATCTTCATGCTTCTCCAGTACGCCTTCTGCATCCGCACTAGAGCAGACGGCAAACTCTACAACATCGCCCGACTGCGCGCTAAGACCAAGGTCCGTGAGGTCCTCATTCGTGAAATGCAGTTTGCAGACGACACTGTGCTGACGTCCCACACGGAGGACGGTCTGCAAGAATTAGTCAGCTGCCTGGCCCACGCCTGCAAGGAGTTCGGTTTGACCATCAGCCTCAAAAAGACCAACATCCTGGCACAAGACCCCGGACGTTACCATCAACGGCTCGCATCTCGAGGTAGTGAACTCTTTCACATACCTCGGGTCGATCATCTCCAGCTCCCTCTCCCTGGACACCGAGATCAGCTCCCTGATAGGGAAGGCCGCCGCAGTCATTACCAAGCTAAACAAGCGCGTCTGAACAACAGCCATCTGACGGAGAACACCAAACTACAAGTATACCGGGCCTGCGTCCTCAGTACCCTTCTGTACGGCAGTGAGTCCTGGACAACTTACGCCAGTTAGGAGAAGAGGTTAAACACCTTTTACCTCCGCTGCCTCAGACGTCTCCTGCATATTAGGTGGCAATACTGGGTCACTAACACAGAGGTTCTTCAACGTGCCGGCATCCCCAGACGTCTAAGATTGCTGAGAGATGTACGCCGCATGGGTGCCGGTCGCATCCCAAGAGTCATCGTGTACGGAGAGCTGTTTGGGGGGTCCTGCCCAACTGGAAGACCTAGGCTTCGAATCAAGGTTGTCTGCAAACGAGACACGAAGCTGGCCGACATCGACCCCAACACATGGGAGGCCGAGGTTGACGATCGTCAGCTTTGGAGAGCCACAGTCAGTAACGGCGTCACGATAGAAGAAGCCACGATGGAAGATCAGCAGGCAGCAAAGAGAGCCAGGAGAAAAGCCAGAACAGCCGTGTCATCCAGTTTCATCTGCGCCAAGTACCTGAGAGACTGCCACTCCAGAGTGGGACAACATAGTCACCAGAGGCGATGTAACTCCATCGCCTAGAATTTAAAAAAAAAAAAAAAAAAAAATCGCTACTCCGAGACGGACGGACACCGAACCTATATATATATATATATATATATATATATATATATATATATATATATATATATATATGAGAGAGAGAGAGAGAGAGAGAGAGGATACTGGACTATTCACATTATTTACGGGGTTTATATATATATATATATATATATATATATATATATATATATATATATATATATATAAGAAGGTACTGTAAAATATATAGGTGTTTGAGAATGTTAGTCTTTCTGTGAGATTTTTTACGTACTGATTTTACCTTCGGGTCTAATTGCAGAATGAGATTGTTCAAAATACGACCTACAATAGCGCGACGGTTAACAAGTACGTCTGCTCTTGATTCGTTAGATCGGTCCTTACCCATGCCTGTTGTCACCTAATGTCTAACTCGTCTAAGTAAATAGCTATATGCAAAACCACATGAAGAAGACATACGATCTTTCTTTTCTTACTTATTGTTAATCCCACACAAGGATCAAAATGGCTACTATATGAGGTTGATGCACGTAAGAAGAGGAGGTAAGAAAGTGCTGTTTATTAGGCTATGTATGAAAGAAAACAGTTAAATTTAAACTAGGAGGTACTGCATAATGGGTAGGTTCCCTAGGGCTTAGGATTAATATTTTTGAAACTTCCCCGGCATGTGCCAGATGAATAGTATGACAATTATATGTTCCAGTGTACGTTGGATGGCTTGTTTTAGCCGTGCATGTCTGAACTGGTGGAAATAAAGAATTTATCTCGTCAGAACATGGAAATAGCAATAAAATAGCGAGAAAACCTCTTGTTTCGTCTGTAGGGAATAGGTTGTAGAGTGGAAAATACTTATATTTTCAACTCTACGGGCACCGAAAGATTCTGAATTCTGTCAAGACTGAACGAGGCAACTCCAGCTCAAATACGGCTGGTGGACTCCATTTGAGGGTTCAGCTACTTTTATGTGCCATGTCGTTTCAGGAAGTGAGCGATCATGGCTCTTAACAATTTCTCATCCTTCGTAACTCTAAGCAAAGTTTACCTCTCCACTATTTCTCCCATTCACTGTTCTGCCATCCATTTAGTCGTTAAGTAGGTCACTCGTTGTTTCCTGTTGCTTCTTTTGATTTCAGTATGTCCTGTGAGTATCAGATTCTCCAAGCCCCTTTCCTCATTATATGTTACAGAAATTTCACCTTTTTGATTCTACGTTTAATTGTCCTTTTCTTTACATTTTCCTTAAAATTTATTGGTTATTTACATGTTAAGTTCATGGTATTTTCAACAGAGACACATCCACTATTTACATTATTCGGACTATTGTCCTCATTTTTCTCGCCATACAGTCTACCCCAGTGAGCGAAATAAACGGTTAGGTTCGACATTCCAACCACCTGAAAGAGGCTGCAGTGTAAAACGGCCGAAACGTTGTAATAAATATAACGATAAAGATGAGGACAATAGTCTGAATAATGTAAATAGTGTACATAATATTTTATCTCAGAAATATAGACAGATACAGAGACACATCCATCTTGTCTCCCGTTTCTCTGTGAGGAAATCGTCCTGGATTTATTCTATATGAGTGGATTGATAGCACATGAATCTTTTCTTCTTAATCACTCTTTTCTGTTTCCTAATTCTTTGTTTAGCTTTTGGAAGGCATCTTTCGCTATTCTTATGTACTTTCTGATTCCTGTGTTACATTTTCCGTAGTCTGTTAAAACCCTTTCGTAATAATTAAATTTCTGTGCCCTCTTGATTTTGACGATTCGTTTTCATAACCCACATCTTAGGCTATTCCTCTTACTGACGGCCATATATTTTGTCTTTGTAGACAGAAAAATACTGATGAATACTCGGAAACTTTATATCAAACTTAGTTAATTTAATTTTGTTATAATCTTAATGCAATAAATTTCCTGAGACTTCTTTTTAAAGTTCAGCATCATCAAAAATTTTAAGCATATACTATTTCTGTAAATTTGTATGTGTGCGTTTTTAAAACATAGAAAATATAATTTAAATACTTTAGTTTTATTTTCTTTTACTAAAGACACTCTAAATTGAAAGTCCATTTATTATTTACGCCACAGATGGATTTTAAGTATGTTTATCTGATAGGTTATAATTTGTTCAGTGTTTCACTTATTTCCTCATGTCATGAACCGAAGTATATTATTAATTAAATTCTATTACAATTCTTACAAACACGCTAACACAATCATTTATTTTCATTACTGACTTCATCGGGCGTGGCTGAAAACAGACCGTAGAAAACGTTAGATTCAATTAACTCGAAAATAAGAATTTTCTAGAATAAACAGAAAAATAATTATTCATTAATAAAAAGATCGTGATCGGTTTTTATTAAATTTTCACTGAATATAAGGCCCAAGAGTCACTCAAGGTAGGGTTGTTGTATGGACGCAGGAGATGGAAGTAAGTACAGATTATGAGGATATGTAAGATAGATAATTGTTGACCCTAGATTTGAAGAGGTTAAGATTGTAATGATTAAAGGAGCATCCTCCCAATAATTTGATCAACAAAGTAGAACTCCTTGGGAAGCGTCATTCCTCCTTACTAATAGAATTACGACAATATTTACCGTCAATATAACATTTTTCATATAATCTTTGTTCATTTTGAAAGTAAAATGCTAAATTTCAACAACATTCAATTCAATTGATTCGTTTTACCGGGTCTGCAGGATATTTAAAGCTAGAAAATATATTCTGATTGTAAGAATTGTTTTTTATTTTTCAGATGAAATAATAATAGAAGAAAACATTTGCCACTTACGTGATTTCCTTCAGCATCTCGACTACGGAGTTTCGGAGACGGAACCTCCAATAATTACACCATCCACTCATCAGTGGGTATCAACACCTGACAGTATACCACGATTTTTTCTTTTATATATCTCTGATATCGGGCCCTTTATTTCAAGGATTGCTTGCCTAAAACGTCTTTTATCCCAATATCCCAGTGACTTACATAATGTTTGTCTTCACACTATCTATATATGTGTGCTAATTTTAGTGGATACTCTTATTTGAATAGACGCTCTCTTTATTTATTAAATTAAACAGTATATTTATTTATTTTCCTCTACCGGATTTAATATTCGAAAAATCTTGTTAGAGAAACGCGTTCTCTGTCAGGATTCGAACTT